GAACCATTGCTACATGCTTGCAAAGCAGGCACTGTACCACTTGAGCCACACCTCCAGTTCATTTTTGCTCTGATTATTTTAGAGATGGAGTCTTGAGAACTGTTTGTCCTGGCTGGCCTTAAACTGCATTTTCCTGATGTCAGCCTCCAGTAGTTAGGATTATAGGAGTGAGCCACTGGCACTGGCTGGAGTTAAGTGCTTAATCTAAATGTTCTTACAGGATTTCAGTTTTAGCTGAAAGATTAATTTGTTTTCATAAACCCCCCCCCCCGTTTCACTTGTTTTTCTCTTGTTGTCTAGTTAAACTAAGAATTAAGCTAACCTCATTTATCAGTCTGTTAACCCTTCTCTTACCTCTTCTTTTTGACAGTTGATTATGTAAAAAACAGGATCCATATGTCAGTGCCTAGTTGATGCATTCTGTAGTTGCAAAGTGGAAAAACTGATTTAATTATGAAAATAGTGTGCCATCTTGTGGAGGTTTATGCAGTAAGCACAGTCTGATTTATCCCTCAGGATCAGAGAAGAATGATAGACGTTGCAGTCGAACACTTCAAATAAAGAGCCTGTTTAATTCTGCAAAAATGGTGTGAAGACACTGAATTCTTTAAATGTCTTGATATACCTACTTACTTGTAGTACATGTAAGATATGTAGATTGATACTACTGGTAATAAGTATCTCTAGGGTTTTACTACTACCAAATTGATAAATGTTCTGTACCAAAGAATTTGATTGAATTTTAGTATTTGTGGTCTGAGTATGATTGATAGAGGATTGATTGAGATTTTGTCCATAGGCTCTTACTGGCTATATTACGGCCAGTCCTTCTCATTCTCTGGTTCTTCCTTTTCTGTCCTGCATGCTGCAAGTTTAGATCTTAACATCTGTGGTTAAGATCTTCTGTAGCTTCTTCACTGTCTGGAACCAAATTCAAAGGCCTTATCTTACTGGTTGGCTGTTATCTGTGTTTTTAATCTCATATCTTGATGTATTACCTATGTATTCTTTTAGTTTGATGCGTTTATTCATCATACAGTTTAACTACTTTACATGCAATATTTCATTTTCATAGTAGCTTGAGGAAGGCATTTTTTTTGGCAGTACCAGGGTTTTAGCTCAGGGCCTCACTCTTGCTAGAGCACTTGAGCCACTCCACCAGCTTATTTTCACAGTAGCTTTTATGAGATAGGTACCATGTTACATTTTAGAGATTAGGAAACTAGTGGTTAAGGAACTTTAAGTTGCAGTAATAGAGTTGTGATGTGTTTTCCTGTATTCTTGTTATTTATTCTTTATCCCTCTCCCCCATCTCAACTCAGGACCTCACTCTTGCTAAGCAGATGCTCTGACACTTAAGCCACACCCTCAACTTTTTTTTTTTTGCCTTAGTTATTTTTCATATAGAGTGTCAACATTTTTTGCCTGGGCTAGCCTCAAACCACAATCTTCCTGATCTCTGTTACTTTGCTTGAAAGTCATCTCTTCTATTCTCCATTCTGCCTACCCAGAACATAAAATCACCTTCTGGTGCATAGCACTAGTAACTGTAACCACAAACCTTTCCTGACTCCCCTCAACAAGATATACTCTCTCTCTTTTCTGAACCCCCTTTTTACCTTTCTGTTGCATTTAGTCTTCCCTGCATTATGGTGATTTATGTACCTCTTTTATATTACTGACTAGATTGCAGGCTTTTTGAAGAGAGAGACTACGTCATCTTTTTTTTTCATTCACTGAAGTGCTTCACCAATTCAGATTGGTACTTAAAAAATATTGAACAGATACTGCTAAGTGCTGGAAGAAATGCACAACCATGATAAGAAACTGTGCTGTTTTAAGAAAACAACAGAGAATTGAAAGCGTTTTAAAAGACATGGAATTTATAGAAAAAGGGTTGCTGCTTGAGGAAGATTGTACTGCCCCAAAATGTACATGAGTTATAGAACATGTATGCCTGAGAATGGATTTGTAGTAAGCTAACCTACTACACTGCTGCAAAGATAAAGGCTTTCCTTTTTCTCTTCTACTGCCTTATTTTTCTCCAGTGATTTCCACAGTTGTTTCTAAAGGCCTTTTATGTCTTTTGTGCATTAAATAATACTTCTGCTGGTGTTTGTTTCTGGATAATTTATCTTTGAATGACTTAAATGATTACATGATTGAAATTAAAATTTTTCTAATGCATTTTCTCAGGTACATCTAAAGATCCAGTTTCCACCCAATTCCATTTAATTTTAATATTAAACTTCAGCTGGGACCACAAAGCTTCCACGGACAAGAAAGACATCTTGGCTTAATTCCGTTGGGATGCTTGCTCTGTGCCAGATTTTATTTTGCTCAGCTATCAATGAGGCTGTTGTGGAAATGTGGGTTTTCGTTGCTGTGAGAATTTATGCGTACAAAGAGACCTGCTTTTCAGAAAGAACATTGAGAACTCAGAGCCTAAGAGGAAGGGTTATTAAAGTTAATGAACCAGGATAACCTTATCCAGAGGGTGCCCAGAAACACCATAAAACAAAAGGCCAATTGCTATTGCTATTTTAGTTATATGCCCCCTCCCTCTCCGTGCTTCAGAATTTAACAGGGTGAATTGTCTTTATAGTGAGGCCTTGATGAATAATTTTTAAGCCAGATGAAAATTAAAAGATTTTTTCCTATATAATTATTGTCTCTGGACATCACTGCATGCCATATGAAAAGCAGAATGTTACTTAACTAATGATACTCATATTGTTTTATAGTTCTGAGATAAGACAGTTATTTTGTAGTTTACAATAATTGGCATTATTTCACTTTATACAGTGCCAAAAGGATTCTAGCTACTAAAGTAGACATGGAATTAGATATAGGAATACAGTTTTTATTGTATTTTTATATCAGGAACTACAAGGTTTTTTTTTTTTTTTTTTGCACATTTTTAAAGCTAGAAATGTTTTTCGTGCTTGACAACCTTCAGGATGTTTTGTGTATCTAATAAAGGAAGAACTTCACAACACTGAAGTTTCGTAAATGAAAAAAGCCAAGACCCAGGGAGATTAAATGACCTGTACTCAATCAGCCAGTGTGCTAGTCAGTTTTATGTCACTGTGACCAAATGCCTGAGGAAACAGCATAGGGGAGGAAGGATTTATGTTGGCTCACAGTTTCAGATGTTTCAGTTTGCTGTGCTAGGGAGGGTGTGGCTGAGTAACTCACATTATGGTGGCCAGGAAGCAGAGACAAACACTGAGAAGATACAGCTCCCAAGAACACTCCCCCAGTTGTCCTAGGGGCTGTGTTTAGTCCCTACCTCCTGAAGTTTCTAGAACCTCCCAAAAGCTACCACCCGGGGATCAAGCCTTCAACAATGAGCCTATTGGGAGCATTTCATATTCAAAACATAAGCCCAGTTAAAACTAGAACTCAGTCCTGCTCTAGCGGGCTTTTTCATCCAGAGAATAGCAACACATTGTCTGGTTGCCCCAAGTTATTGGGGGATAGGGAGGACATTGTACCTAGAAAATTTACTTAGACTTTGAAATTATATGAAAATATGGCAAAACTCTCTTAAAAGCCAGCTCAGCTCTGTGAATGGCAAGAGGTTTCTTAGTGTTAGTGCTTACTCATACATTTTGACTTCTAAACCTTTAAGGTTGGCACAACTTAGATGATCTTCACCACACTTACAGGCTTGGGATGTGTCACTTCAGAGTGTCAATCGATGGCTTTTTAGTTTTTCTGTAGTGTTCTGCTTTTTAAAAGCAAGTGAGCTTGTATAATCAGGCATATTTACAAAGGGGTAAAATATTTAAAGAAAGAAGAGACATTTTTATATTTTGAGGAATGGTCTATATGCATTATTATGTGTAAGGTTCATTATTCACTTAGCCAGAAATAATTTTATCACAGTATTAAAGTTCATGAATCTAATAGACACTTCAGTGAGAAGAAATCCAGTTCTCAAGGTTTCTAGAACGACTTCACGGTTAGACCTTGCACAATATATTTGGAAAAATTTTCCCCAGTTTTCATGGGAATACCAAAACTAAATAATAAAGATACCTAACTTTAACATCTAGCTAGTTTTAACCATTGTTTGTAATACTACAGTAGAGAGAAATCTTTAATGTAACTTTTATTCAGTAATAGCTAGAGGTCTTTACATTATAGTTGTACAGTTTCTTTAAGGTTTCTATTTTTTTCAGTCTGACTAAAAATTCTGTAGGTCATTAGTGGCTAAAATATGGCTCCCTTATTAAGAAGCTGATAGATTCAAACTTTTCATGGCCTATCACAGAAACTCCCAAACCACCTGCACATCACATTCTCTAGGATGGCTTAAAAGTACAGACTCTTTTTTGCCCACTATGAAATCAGAATCTTGGGAACAATGTCTAGTAATCTGGTTTTTAAAATAAAACTCTCAAAATACGGTTCTGCAGCAGTCTTTCCATCTACTCATGTTTAGGAAATGCTAGTTTGGTATATGTTTTAGAAAGCTACCAGTTTAAAAATCTCATCTTAAAATTTATTAAAGTGTACCGTGTGTGTGTGTGTGTGTGTGTGTGTGTGTGTGTGTGTGTGTGACATTGGGGTTGGCACTCAGGGCCTCATGCTTGCTAGGCAGGTACTTTACCACTTGAGCCATGCCCCAGCCCTTTTTTGCTTTAGTTATGTTTTGGATAGGGTCTTGTGTTTTTGCCCTGGGAGGCCAGATTTGGACTAGTATCTTCATACCCATGGCTTCCCACGTATCTGGGTTTTCAAATGTACACCATTATGTCCAGCTTATTTGTTGAGATGGGGGCTCTCAGTAACTTTTTGCCCTGGCTAACCTCAAACCACAATTATCCTGATCTCCTCCTCCCAAGTAGTTGGGATTCCAGGCATGAGTCACTGCTTCTAGCAAAGTATACCTTCTTAAATGATCTATGAAACAAAAGGCAAGGTCTGGTTCCTGTACTATTGTCTTACGGTTTTTTTTTTTTAAAACACATATTTTGTGATTTTTTTCATAGAGACCGTTTATTTGTTTGGTGGCTGGGATGGAACACAAGATCTTGCTGACTTCTGGGCATACAGTGTGAAGGAGAACCAGTGGACATGTATCTCTAGAGACACTGAGAAAGAGGCAAGTTTTCAGACTTCTTATATATCTATATTGCATTAGAAGAATGGACTTGTACTTCTTTTTCTGCATGATTATTTCCTTCTCTAATTGTTTTTAGCAGTGGCAGCAAAAGGATTTATGGTACACAAGTTTGATTTATGTTCTTCTGTGTTTTAACTTTCATATCTGGTTTGTCAGTTATGGGTAAACAAATCTACTTTATAAAGAGAAATGGATATTTTTATATTGTTTAATTTTTAAACTACTTTAGCCTAGAAATGCAATTATGTAACTGTCTTTTCTCAGGCCCCTGTCACCTCTATTCTTGCTTTTAGCATTCATCTTTGTTTTTTCTTTTTTAGTACTAGGGGTGGAACTCAATGCCTCACACTTGCTAGGCAAGTGCACTCATACTGAGCTGTAAGCCACAGCCCCCATCTTATTTTTATGTCCTCTGGAGAAAACATGCTTTTGACATTCTAGTTCTCCACTATCTCACTATTTCACTATGTAGTCATACACTGGATAACAGTGTTTTAGTTAACAACAGGTTCTATACATGATTCTGGTCCTATAAGATTATATTGCCTAGTGACAGCATAGCTATCTTAGTTTATATAAGTATATTTTATAGTGTTTGCACAATGATGAAATTACCTAACAATGTATTTCTTAGAATGTATCCTTAACATTAAGCTATACCTGTCAGTTTTCAAAAATAATGCGTATCTTATTTTTAATTAAAATTGTATATGTGTAAGCATTTGTGCATCTATCTATACATAAAACATACATATGTATATATGCATTTCTGTAGTGCATAAAATGGCTTGGATTTATGGCTTTGAATATATAGATGCATGATTATACACTGGGAAAAGCAAATACTCATTTAATTTTTTTTCCGAATCTTTTTAGTACTTATATTATATCCTCCATCTAAGCTGCTTCAGATTATAAATTGAAAAATAAATTACAACAAAGCAGAAGAAGTTGAACAGGGAGAAAAAAACCTAATACAAACTCCACTGATTTTTATTTAAGAAAGCCATATAGAAGGATCTGCTGGTGTGTTTTCAATCCTAGGAAATTGCATTCTTTCTTACTCAGTGTATTCCAGAGATTAATCATTTGGGTAATTTTTAAAAAGACTGAAATTCTGATTTCTTTTTCTTACCACAAGCAAAAGTATATAAAGATGGCTTTCCATTTTCAGTACTGAAGTGCCATCTTTTTTATCAAATTTGTTTTTCTCATTAGCAAAAAGAAATCCTGTAACCAAGTCCAGAGTCAGTGTATGGTGGGGGTACTGTTAAAGGTTGTAGATACAAGGAAGTATGAAAAACAGTAATAAAGCAATTTATCTGTCTTAGGTTTTTTTGCTTAAAGTGATAACCCCAAATTTCTCATCAAGATTTGGTCTTTACCTACTTTTCCAGACTCATCTCCTGACTCTTTGTGAAAGCCATACTTGGGGTTTCTGAATTCAAGTTTTTCACTTGTTTCATTTGGCATGTTTTCCTTATTTGAGATTAACAGAGGATCTACCCAAAAGCTTTTACCTAATAAATACCTACTGACTCCTTAAAACTCAATTCAGACTTCACCTCCTCTCTGAAGCCTTTCTTGACCTCCCAAAGCTGAATTAAACACTTCCTTTGATGTGTGCCTTTTAGTTCTTGAAGGGGTTACCATAATGACTGGCTTAAGTTCCTTTTTCCCTCCCTAGAGTCTGAATTCTTTAAAGCATGAATGATATTATTTAGAATTTATGTATTTTAAGGGTATGATACATATGCTTACTCTTTATTGAGTAAATAGGTGAGGTAAGTGAATTGAAAAGTTAATGCTGGAGAAAAGCAAGGGAATGACAAATAGAAAATATCGGAGAGTGGTGCTTTGGTGTAGAGGGTTTATAGGGACTTGAAAACTGTACTGATGTTCTGCTTCTAAAGCTGACCATGAGTACGTAACTGTTCATTCTTTTCAGTTTTGTTCTTTCGTGGTTTTTTTTTTTTTTTTGAGACAGGGTCTCACCAAGTAGCCCAAGCTGACCTTGAATTTGCTGAGTAGCCAGTTGGCCTCCAACTTACAGTTATCCTGCCTCTACCTCCTATAGGCTAGGGACGGGCATGTGCCTCTATGCCTTGCTCATATGCTCATAATACATATGTTGTATTATTTTAAAACTACCACTAAAAATTACAGGAATTATTTTGGTAAGAACACTGTGCTGCTGTTACTTTAAAGCTAAGTAAAATGATTCAATTCTGGTGCTCAGATTTTATTATAGTTTGTTAATACTTTCTTCATATAGACACCAAAAATACTTTTGTTAATCTACCTATGAATTAAATGGTAATATATGACTAGCTTAAATGCTCATGTTTCTAAAATTGAAATGCTACTATTTCATATATCTTAATTTTTTTCTAACCAGTTTATATAAGTTACTGTTTAAGGATATCCTACGATTAAAGCATGTTACACAAAAATAAAAAGCAAAAATAATTTAATTCTCTTTAATTTACTTAAATGTGTATCTAATAAAACATTTAGGAGATAAAGCATTTAGGAGAGTGAAAGATAATAGAATGAATTCTTAAAGGGGAAATTATTTTAGGTATTTACGTAGATTTGCAAGTAAGTTTTTATAGGTTTATTGCTCCTCAAAGTAGTTAATAAACAAAGCTATTTTTATTAACCTCATTCCATTTCCTTCAGTATTGGATTATGTATTAAAGCTAACTATAAAAATTCACTATTTTAGCTGGTGCCAGTGGCTCATGCCTATATTAGCTACTCCCTGTGCCCAACACCAAAAATGACTGCTTAAGGCACGTTAACATAAATAATATTTTTATTTGAAATATCTTTCTCAAAAAGTTTTGTAGAAGAGTGGCGTTGTTTTACATTTTACAAATGTCTAGTGGAGGACAACTAGATTCTCATGTGTTTCAGTGTTTACTGTCTCGTGACGTGTTGTTTTGAATGAAGTAAATAAAGAAAATTGGATCTTGTGTATATGTGAATTTCGAAGGAGAATGATATTTCAGTAGTCTTTTCAGAGAACTGCATATGTTCTTTGATTCCATGCCATACTCCAAATTGACAAATGATCTGTCCTCACTCCCTTCCTCCCTTGTCACCCCACCCCCCCAACAGTCTTGCTGTGTAGCCCAGGCTGGCCTTGAACTTGTGATCCTCCTGCCTCTGCCTTCAGGTGTTGAGATTACAGGCATGCTCCCCCATGCTTGGCATGATTATTCCTTAAAGGTAGTATAGACTTTGAAACCATATTAGCTAACTCTTTGTAATATATTATATTAAAATCCATTGGTCTGTATTGCTTTTTCGATGGATCTTTTTCCTGTCCATGTTTTTTTGGTTTTTGGTTTTTTCATTTTTACTCACCTTGATCACTTGAAAAATACTGGGTTCCCTGAGTTAAGCATCTCTTCTAATTATTGGCATAGTTTATTATACAATATCCAGAAAAAAATTTGTTAATGTCGTCAGTCTCTTAGAAAAGTCTTTTAAGTACTAAGAAAATGTCAAGATCACAGTGGCAGATAAAAGTTCTCAAAAATTCTAATTTTTTCTTAAAAGCATGCATTATATCATTGGCAATGGTTTTCTTTTCATGTAATGTGATTTCTGCATTTATTATTGACAAAATGTCTGTTGTAACCACATCAGCTGTAGGTCTTCTCCCAAGCATACATAGAGTTCTGTGGAAAAGGCAGCTGCATCAGTTTGCAACTCAACAATCGCCTGAGTACTTTTTTTTTTTTTTGAGACAACTGTCATATACAAGTGACAGGTTTCATAGTTTCAGAAATCCCTTTAACGTCTGCTATATCAGCAAATCATGTAGCCTCTGAAAAATTTCTCATACATTCATAGAGAATGAGAGTGCAGAGAAAAATTTGTATCCGAATGCTGTTATGAGAATAACTTTGGCCTTGTAGACTCCCTGAAGTGTCTTGGAGAGTCCAGTCTGCACCAGGAACTGCTGCTGTGATCAAATCCACAGTCCTGTGCATACACAGACTGTTACCCAGTAATGCCCAGCATGCCCGTGACAGGCACCCATTGTGTACTCTGTTTCCCTAACCCCTACCCAGGATTTAGTCCATGGTCATGCATTGTGTTTTAGTTGCTTCTTTTTTTACCCCTTTCTTCATTTCTTTCTTTTTTTTTTTTTTTGCCTAAATATTTTTGAGGAGTAGAGGGCACTTCTTTTGTAGAATGTTCTTCAGCTGGGTTTATCTGGTATTTCCTTAAGATTGAATTTAGGTAATGCACGTTTATCAGGCATGACACAGGGAATGATAGTGACTCTTCCTCTCTGTATGTTGTATTGAGAGACATATTACTTCAGTTTCTCTGTAGTTATCTTTGATCACTTAGCTAAGAAGGTGCCCACTGGATTTTTCCACTTTATAGTTAATAAGAAATTTGTGGGGAGACACTTTAAGAATATGAAAATTTCCTGTCACTCATTAAACTTTTGCTCTTTTAGCATTCATTCATGAAACCATTAAGGCTTTTCCCAAAGTGATTGTAGCATTCTGTAATCCTGTCAGCAATGTTGCTGTCTACCTTCTTTCCCCAAAGATTTGCTTTGGTACCTTGGTCAGAAATCATGACATATATGTCTCTTCTTTTATACTCTATTCTGTTTCCTTATATTGGTCTCTTGTACCCATATGACACTCCTTTGACTGCTGTAGCTTTGTAGTAGCTCATAATGTCAGTTCGAGTAGGACCTCTTTACCTTGACTCTTTCAAAAGTATCTTGACCCTTCTAGGTCCTTTGTATTGTTAGTTTCTAAACTGTTGGGATTATGATTGGGAATATGGTGAGGTGAATCTGTAAACTAATTTGAAGAGAATTTATATCTTAATGATAATGGGTCTTCTAACCCATTAAAATGGTGTTGCTCTCCGTTCATTTTGTCTCTGTGATCTCTCAGCATTTGGAATTTTAGGTTAAAGTTCTTGGCTAATTTAATGAAGTTGATTCCAATGTATTTTGTTTGTTGTGTGTATTAGAACTGGAATTTAAGTTTTTTATTCTCCATTTGTCAGCTGGTAATATGTAACAGTAGTATCAGACATGAATACACAGTTTTTTTTCCCCTCTGGTCTTTTTTCTATTTCAACTTTTTGTTATCTTATTTTTTAATGCTTTCTTTATTTCACTGATGTGGACTTCCAGAGCAAGGTTAAATAGAAATGGTGAGAATAGACATCATGTCTTCTTCAGATCTTAATACGAGAATATTCCATATGTCATCATTAAAGGACAAATTAGATTTCAAATTTTCTTATATCCTTTACAGATTGAAGCAGTTCCTTTCTATTCCTATTTTGTTCTAAGTTTTTATCATAAATATATATTGATTTTAGATATAAAATAAACCCCTTTTAGTTATGAAATATCTTGTTCATGTGTTGATGCATTCTGTTAGTACTATTTGTAAGATTCATTTGTGCCCATGCTCATGAGGCTGTGCGCCATCTATAAATTACTCCTGCTTCCTTCTCCTGCCTCCCTTGCCCATTTGTTCCTGATGTTGTTAATTTGGTTTCAGCATCATGTTGTCCTCAGAAAATTAAGTTAGAAATGGAATAGAAGATAAATTTGAAAATGGGGCTTTCCTTCTTCCTCTGTTTTCTGGAAAACTCTGCCTCAGGTTGATAGAATTTCTCTTGCCAAAGCAAGAGTGTCTGATAAAATTTACCAGTATAGACATCTGAGCCTAGAGTTTTTTTATAGGAAGATTTTAAATTATGAATACAATTTTCTATAGATATAAGGACTTCACATTTTTCTCTTTCATTTCATGTCATTTTGGTAAGTTATGTTTTTTCAAGGACTATGTCTATCCATCTTATCTACATATTTGACTTGTCAAAATTTTACCTACACATTTAACTGTTGTCAAATTGTACCTGTTTTTCATAATACAACGTTATTTTCTTTGTAATTTCCGGAGTCTGTAGTGATAGTTCTACTTTCATTTCTCTCCCTTAAAAAAATTTTGCTTAGTGGTTAATTTCTTAATTTTCTGCATTTTTAATGTTTACTGTTCTATCAGTTTCTATTTCTTTTCTTTTTTTCTTCTTGCTTAGAGTGTTATTTATCATTCTAATAGTGCTTATACTAATTTAGCCAAAACAAGAAGTTGTGTTATCTCCTATTTAAAATGTCAAATTTCATACTCTAGGAAATATGTCATATATTTGTTATGTTATTGTCTTTTTTTTTAATTATTGAGGAAATCTCTTTCAATTTCCACATTAGCTGCTGAAATCTTGACAAAAATATTTAAAAATAGATATAGTGATTTGAATGAATGCTAAAACATGTATTCAGGTCAACTTAATATCTGAATTACCAGCAGTAGGGCTGAGGATGTAGTATACAGTGGTAGAGCACTTGGTTAGCAGGCACAGGCCCTGGATTCAGTAATCAGCCCCACCACCACCACCACCAAAAAAAGCCTGAATTAGTAACACTTAATTGTCAAGCTGTCACTTCCTGCTTAATATTCCTTCATTTAATCAAGTTAATTTTCCTTTCTTTCTTCTTTTTTTTTTTTTGGCAGCTTTTTTTTTTTTTTGGCAGCACTGTGGTTTGAACTCAGGGTCTTATGCTTGCTGGGCAGGGATTCTACCACTTGAGCCACTCACCAACTCTTTTTTTTTGTGATGGGTTTTTTCGAGATATGGATCTCACAGACTACTTGTCCAGGCTGGCTTTGAACCTCTATCCTCCTGATCTCTGCCTCCTGAATAACTAGGATTACAGGTGTGATCCACCAGTGCCCCGCTGCATTACTTTTCTTATAGTACAACTTTTTAATGTTCTATCTTGCTTTTAGGAACTTAAAGTATTGCCTACAAATTACACTGTTTTCTCTCCCAGGAATTCATCAGGCTTCCTACTTCCTGTACTTGAATTCTGTGATTTCCCTAGTAGGAACTCTTCATCTCAGTCATAACCCACATACATTGTATTAACAAGTGTGTTTTTGCTTTGTTTTTCTTAGCTTTTGGTAAAACCTACTTGCAGAAGTTAAAAGAACATAGTTTTAGTAGTTGGTGGGGCTTAGGTTGGCTATGTTCCTAATTTAACTGGGGACAAATTACTCGGTGAAGTAGTAATAATTTCCTTACCGTGTTGTTGTAAGAATTAAATGAAATGACATTCACAGAACTTAGCAAGTATTTAACATTGGTTAAATGGTAGACCTCTTCTACCTTTTTTCTAATCAAGCCCTGTCCAATTAAAATTCTTCCTTCTCCTCCCATCCCATGAACTCTTTGGCTATATAGTACTGTTTTTGTTTGTGTTTCTGGATTTTTTTATCCTTTTCTTCAGTCCTGTCTTACAGGTGGTCTCAAACTAAGTAGCTTTTGTTTATCATATACTGTTTCCGTTATTGCTCCCTATGTATTTAACACTGCTGTATTGATGATTCAGTTTTATGTAATATAAAGGATGGATGAAGATGTCAGTGACTTGGATTTTCCTGCTTCTGTCACTGTCTTACTAGCTTTTAGGATGATACATTTCCTACCTATGCTTATATTTCTTCATATTTATGTTTTTGTTTTTGTTTGAGGAAAGTCTTGCTATGTAGCCCAGACTGATCTGAAACTCGATCCTCCTGCCTCAGTTTCTCTAGTAACTGGGATTACAGGTGTGACCACCATACCTTGCTTTTTCTTCATCTTTAAAAGGGAAAAATTAAACTGCAGATTTTATTAACTTTTTTCCCAATTTTGAAATTCACTGATTGTAAATATTCTTGAAGTACCTATTTGATGCTTTATTATGAGAAGTACAAAAATGTTTTTAAAGACTAAACGTGTTTAAATAGATTTGACATGTAACAGGGAATTGAGTTATGCACACAGATGACTAAAATGCAATGCAGTGTATAAATAGAAGCCATATGGATATTTAAGCAAGTGCTGTAAGGTACAGAATAGTGCATCTCATCTTTCTTGGCAGACTTTAAACATTGCTAGAGTAAAAACAGTGTCTCTTACTGTTTTTACTCTTGTTTAGAGATTTAAGTGTAGTGTTGGATCTACATTAGTTGACTTCATATGAAGTTTTGAGCAAACCTTTTAATGAAAAGTAACAAAAAAGGATCTTTAATTTTATTTTCTGCTCTATGTTCTATTAAATTCCTACTCTTTTTCTCTCTCTACAGAATGGTCCCAGTGCCAGATCATGTCACAAAATGTGCATTGATATTCAACGGAGGCAAATCTACACATTGGGACGTTATTTGGATTCCTCTGTGAGGAACAGCAAATCTCTGAAAAGTGACTTCTATCGTTATGACATTGACACAAACACATGGATGTTACTCAGCGAAGATACTGCTGCTGATGGCGGGCCCAAATTGGTGTTTGATCATCAGGTGTGATGCATAGCTAAATACATGGTGGAGTTAATTAGTGCTCAGTAATCATTGCCTGTGGAGCTTAATTTAGATGTTCTTCCGAGCTGTTTAACAGTGACTGCATTGCAGATGCCTGTGATGGTCATAGAAATAATCATTTTACAGGTGTAAAGTTATTCTTTAAGTTTTTTTCTCCTTTCTTGGTGCAGGAAATCATAATGGTAACAACTTGCCTTTTTAATATTTTTTATTCTACTTTCCTGGAAGAAATTTAAATCACTTCATAATGACTTTGAGAGTTTGAAATATAGAGCTTTTCTTCTAATAAGATTGAAACATTTTTAGTTTGTTTGTAATCAGAAACTTGTTACACACTTGGGTATGAATTTGACATACATTAGATTAATTTTAAAACTTGCCACCAGTGAAAGTCATATCATTATGCCATAGACATGAAGACTGTACATGGTAATATTATCAGCCACTTTAACCTTACTATGGATATAGCTGTCATCATCAGCACCATAGATGTCATTGTCTGCTATCTGGTTTTCAGGACTTATTCCATATCAGTTCAGCATAGGTCAAATAAAACAGTAACTACCTTTTAACTTGGCTCATCCCATTTGCAGTTTTTTTTTTTTCTTACTGTATGGGGGAGAAAAAGACTTTAAAAGATCTCTAACACTGTATTGGTGATAGTATTGTGGAGGTAATGCTAGAATCATGATAAAGTCCAGTGTAAGTCTAAATCTTATGTAGGAGTTAAAACCTGTCTTTATTTATTGATTTACAGATTTTTGTTAATTATTTGTTTTAAAACTGTCTTACCATATTTATGTTAATATATGATTGCTGTAGGAGAATGGTAAGGAAAAGAAGAGTGAGTTTGCCTATCAAGTAAGTGGTAGTTGGAAAATCAAAAACACTAGTTTCCAAAGTACTCCCTGGATTGAATTTAGAACTTCTCCTGGCTCTAATAACTGAGCTCTGTATGTAAAGGTGTGCATGTCCTTCCTGATAATCCTCAGCATTGTTCACATAGAAAATGAGAACTCCAAGAAGTTAGACTGGTTCTGATATTTTAAAAACAGAACATCAGCAGATAACATTGTTATGGGACTGTTATCCTCATGATCCCAAATTATATATTTCTTTTTTGTTGTTGTTTTGTTTTTTCCTTTGTTGGTGGTACTGGGGTTTGAACTCAGGGCCTCGAGCTTACTAGACAGGTGCTCTACCACTTGAGCCACTCTGCCAACCCTTTTTCTCTGGGTTATTTTTGAGATAGGGTTTTGCTTTATTCACTGGTCAGGGAGGAATCCCCTGTAGTTGGTTGACATGGGGTCTTGTGAATTTTTTGTCTAGGTTGGCCTTGAACTGTCATCCTCCCCATTCTCCTCCTTCCCCTAGTAGCTAGGATTCAGACTTAAGCCATCAGGCCTGGCTTCAAATTGTTACATGTTTATAACAATTTGTAATATTGATATATATAACAATTTATATGTTTCTTTTTACAAAAGATGCCAGTGTCTTTATTTTTATAAGTTGAAAAATGAATAGCTTAGGGATTATCTGACTATAGCACATGTAGAGTTCTTGTATGTGACTTTCAGCTGATTAGTTGGTATAGCAGAATACTGGGGATGAAAAGAAAACCCAGGATTTCAGTCTTACTTCAACTAAAAACAACTAGCTGTATGCTATAGGGTAAGTAGCACAATCTGTATAAGCCACTGTTTTCCTATTTTATTTCATCCAAATCTACATTAGAACTTACTAGCTGTGGTGTTCATGACACTTCAGAAAATAATTTATGGTGTTCATGATGCCTTAGGATATAATACTTAATGATCAAATTTGAGAAGAATGTGAGAAAGCTAGAGACATGAAGATATGCTTAAAAGTTATTTTGCCTTTTTTTTTTGTCACTTTCCTTTTTTATTTATTTATTTTTGGTTAGGATTCATTAATGGTACAAGAGGGTTCAATGTGAAAATTCCATATATGCATACAGTGTATTTTGAACAAGCTTACCCCCTCTATTACATTCCCTTAATTTTAACATGGAAAAAAAAAGTAAAATTTAAACTTCCAGATTGCTGATGAACATAGTGGGAACTTAGTTTTCAGGTTTTCTACATTGTTGTTTTGTATGATTTTTTTAGGAACAATGAGAATCAAAAAGATTTTTAAAAACACACATGCAAAGCAGATATTCAGCAAAACTAGGAGCCAAAGAAAACTCACAATTCTCAGTTCCTTGTAAGTTTAATCAAAAACAACTGAAATACCCAAAATGTGTTGAAGCCCACACTGTGTGATGGGGAGAGAACTGGAAATGAAGACAGCCTAGCAGTGGAACATCACAGTGGGGAGTGTCAGGAGTACAGCAGCCACTGGTAGTCAGTGATTTGAGATACAGAAAGTGTCAGAAATGCCCAGGGGTGGTAGATATCAGGAAACACTGTTTTCTAAAGGTGAAGGGGTAGTGGTAGGGGTAGGAGGTGAAGAGGGGAGACAGTGGCTCCTTTTGTAATAACCATAGCAATTGGAGGAACTCACAGCTTAAGATAGAAGCCCTTTCCTACCAACTGAGGCTCATAGAGTCAGAGAAGGCGTGGCTTCACAGAAGCATCATATTTTGAAGGAATCATTCAATTCAGTAGCACCAGAGGAAGTAGTCCTTGAGCAAGACCATTCCCCCTTATACAGGAACCCTCTGAAAGTTATTTGGTCTGAGAAACATCACCTTGCTTAAATATAAAAAAGTAAAAATAGCATCAAACACAAAATTGTTAGATATGTACCTTAAAGAAAATAATGAAAAGAAAAATAACAGTAAGACTGTCACATAAAAGCACAAGAAAATTATATTTTACTAATCTCATAAGAATTAAATGACTTAATGAAGCTTGAGACTGAAGAATACGGTAAACCATAAATTCACAGATGTAAATGAGATAGCCAAATGTAGGAACAGGTGAAACATAGAAAAGAAATTGGAGAAAAACATAGTATCATTTGCAAAAATGAAGACTATATAACAAGGAACAGAAAGAAGAAAAGGTAAATACCATGTATCATAAGAATAGTATGAAACAGAAATAAAGAAATGAAAGGTATTTGCCGGAGAATTGCAGAGAAGATTGGCAAAGGAGAATCAGAATACAAGTAATTGGCAACCCTAAAGAAGAAAACGAAAACAGTAGAATAGAACAAATATGTATAAGTAAAATTCAAGCAAACTTTACAGAAGAAAGACTACTCCACATAGGTAATGTGTGTGCTATTTTCATGGAAAAGAGAGCTTGATATCTGTCTCTTAAGACATGTATTTGTAACATCAAATTTAATAGATAGACTGTTTTTAGCTACTAGACAAAATGATGAAGTCATCCATAAGAGAACTAAAATGAGACTGGTATCAGGTTTCTCTATGTCTACATTCAGTGTTATATTAGCTTTCTATCATGATAGTAAATTAATTACCTGAGGCAGTTAACTTAGAAAGAGAAAAGGTTTTATTTTTTTTTTTCCACTTGTCACTTTTTTTTTTTTTTGAGATTTATTTTTTATTGTGCTGGGTGGGGGTACATTTACAAAAGTTTTCACAATATATCAAATATATCATACTTGAATTCATCCCCTCTACCATTCTTCTTTATTCTCCCCTCCCCCCATTCTTGGAATAGTTACAACAGGTATCATTTGTTCATTTACATACGTGTGTACACAGTATTTGCACTATTTTCACCCTCCCATTTCCTTTCCCCACCTTCTCCCTGCTCCCACTGGTACCATTCCCCCCAAGGCGGGACCTGTTCTGACCCTCTGTTTTCTAATTATAAAAGGAAAAAAAAAAAAGACAGTTTTGCTTATTTAAAAACCATTTCTTTTGTTGTGCAGAAGCTTTTTAATTTCATGTAGTCCCATTTGTCATTCCTTTCTCTTAGTTGCCTGAACCATTTGAGTTCTATTTATGAAACCTATAAACCATTAAAGAAAGAAATCAAAGAAGACTACTGAAGATAGAAAGATCTCCCATGCTCAGGGATTGGCAGAATCAATATTGTGAAAATGGCTATATTAACAAAAGCAATCTACATGTTCAGTGCAATCCCCATCAAAATTCCAGTGACATTTGTCACAGAGTTTCAAAAATCAACCCTAAAGTTCATCTGGAAGCACTAAAGACCATGGATAGCCAAGGCAACACTGAGCAAAAAGAGCAACACTGGAGTTATCACAATACCCAACTTCAAATTATACTACAGAGCCATAGCAATAAAAACAGCATGGTACTGGCACAAAAGTAGATATGAAGACCAGTGGAACAGAAAAGAAGACTCAGATATGAATATATGCACATGAACCTCATTTTTGACAAAGGCACCCAAGACATACGATGGAAAAAAGAGCCTCTTCAACAAGTATTGCTGTGAAAATTGGATACCTGCATGCAGAACACTGAAACTAGATCCATGTCTTTCTGTACAAGTATCAACTCAAAGTGGATTAAGGACCTTAGTATAAGACCTGAAGCTTTGACGCTTTTGCAGGAAAGAGCAGGGAATACACTGGAGAAAAGGTTTATTTTGACTTATGGTTGTGGATGTTCCCATTCAAGATCAGATGCTGCCATTGCTTTGGGCCTCTGGCAAGGACAGCACTTCATGGCTTACACATAAGCCATGAAGGAAAAGATAGAGGACAGGCTGAGTTTACTGGGGTCACACCTCTAGTGACCTAGTGATCTTTTATAAGGCCCTTCCACCTAAAGGTCCATAATACCTCCCAATAATGCCAGCCTGCGGAGTAAGCCTTTACCAGGTAGAACTTGGGGGAACACTGATCATACTAAAACCACAGCAAGTATCAAGCGACAGTAGAGCAACATCTAGGAAACTCAAGACAAGGACTTTATATCTAGCCAAACTGCTCTTCAAGTATAAACACTTTTTACTAGAAAATACAATGTGAGCTAGCCAGGAAGGAACAGACAAAACTTCAACCTAAAAATGGAAGATTTTAGCTTATTGGCATTCCCCTGTGCCAAACTGGGTCATTGACAGACTAAACATATACTTTAATGTTCTCCTTACCAACATCCTCTGAAATGACAAGGGAATACATAGCAATGGTGTTGAAAAACAAAGATTGCCCTCTGGGCACCTCAAAAATTGAGGGGAATTTTAGAAAACAAATAGCATCAGATTCAACCAGAAGAAACCAGAGCCTTTAAAAAGATTACATCAAAGACTAGGAAATGACTTGAGTCTCAAAGTTTATACAGCTGAAGCAAACATCAAATTATCAGTTGGTGACCAAAGAGCAGGCCATTCTCTAGTTTAACTAGCATGTAGCAGTGGTAATTGTCTAAAGATAGAGCCTAGGGCTGGAGAGAGAAAGCAGTACCCCAAGGATCACTGGAAAGCTGCAAAATCCTTCAAAGCATCATGTCTTACTCCTTCCCACACTATCTCTTAGGGCAGGCAACAGTATAGGCAGTGAGCATATGGGTTGAGAATTTTCAGATGCAAAGAGGACTAGACTGAAAAAAAATAGTTATTTGGACATAACTAATGAGGCAGTCACACTGAACTGAACAAAGTAGTGTTTACAGAAAAATAGATAGAATAAATGGAAGAAAGTTTTAAGACAAGTTGAAATGATACCTGTAGTTCTAAAGGGATTTTGCGTTCATGAAAAGGAGAAATGTCTAAAATTATAAATTGAAGATTTGATAGTGATTTTAAAACTCAGTAAATTGATTTTTTAAAAAGGATGCATATACCTCTGAGTACGCTAGTGATCTGAAATTATGTAAGAAACAAAAAAGGTCCTAAATTTCCAGTAGTTGCGATATCTATCAAACAGGAGTTCCTAAAAGAAATGGAGGCAGGGCCACACTACTTGGATGGCGGAGATGGGGAGCATCACAGTTCGAGGCCAGTCCAGGTAAAAAGCAAGAATTCCAACAAGTAAGTCAGGTGTGGTAGTTCATTTCTGTAATCCTGGCTATATGGGAGACAGAGGTAAGGAGGATCACTGTCCAAGGCCAGCTGTAGGCAAAAATGTGAGACTTTACCCACCCCCTACCAACACTACCAGAAAAGAGCTGGGGCATGGCTCAAGTGGTAGAACACCTGCCTTGCAAGCATGAGGTCTTGAGTTCAAACCCAGTTACCTCCAATTAGAACAAACAAAAAGAATGGAAGCAAAAACTAATCAAGGGAGAAAAATAGTTTTCAGATTAAAAGTAACCACCAAGTACAGATCAGGATGGAAGAGTAGAAGGAAAACAGAACAAAACAAAAAAACCCTCTACCAAAATAGTTCCTTAATGAAACTTCAGAAACAAGGATTAAGAGAAAATTCTGAATAGGCCACAGAGAGAAAGCTAGTTGCTCCTGTAGATAAGCAGGAATCAGATTGACATGAGGCATTTTGGAGTTAGTGGGCAACACTGGATACTTAGAAGACTTTATAGCAAAATCATTAAGTTTCATAAACATTTTTCAGAGACTTAAAAACTACAAAACAAAAGTAATAGTGATTTAAAAAATGAAGAGCAAGCCATAAACTGTTAGTGTAAAGTTTTCTGGAGGGATTAAAACATGGAAATTACATATCTTGTTTGAGGAAGAACCAAGCTCAGGGATAAGAAGTTGAATAAATAAAATTATTTCTGTGTGTCCTGTTTGTTAAGATATGGCAAGGAATTGCCATGCTAATATATTTTACTCTTTTCTTGAATTGGTTTGGACTCCTATGCTATGAGAGCTACCCACATAATGATGTTTGTACTGTAGCTCTGCTAACAAATGAGGATAAGTGTCCCTAGAAGGAAAAAGACACTTCTTTGTAGCCATATGAAGTATAGAGACTTGGTAACAGGATTGGCTGATGTTGAATCTGTGAAGTTATGAAAATGGGGATAGATTCACTTAATGTTGGTCCCTCAGGATTTTCTGCATGATTCCCAGGTATTTGGAGAGATTTGAGCCTTAAGCACTTAGGACACAGTAAGGCAACCCAGCGTCAGTGGCACACTAGGCAGAGGCGAAGTAGCTGAGTGTTCTTCAGCAGTGTATCAGTTGTGTTTAAGCATATCATTAAAGAGTGGAAATGCTTTCTGTGGAATGCCAGGGACACGAAAAACTTCGGCATCCTGGTTTTTCAACCATTTTTGGAATGTAGTAGATTTCCATCTTACTTTATGGGAGTTTTGAGAAACCTGGGAAATAGCAAATGAGGATCTTTTCAGTGGTGTTAGAAATGCCGTTCCCAAACAGTGATCAAAGAAATACATGGGAGTCACTCAGCAAGACAAAAAGAAAAGTTTTACCTCTCTACAGAAGAGTGCAGCCACAGACCATAGCCTGATCGGCAGAATGCACTGAGTGGGAGTCAGCTTAGTTTTTATCTCTTTGCCCCTTACCTTGATGGATTGGTTTTGGTTCACAATCTTTGGGATTGATTACTTAGAAAAGGAGGCATGTGGGGTGAGGGGAACCTTGAAGCAGGGAGAACAAGAAAATTCTTTTGGGCAATATTCATCTTTAAGCAAGCAGTTTGAGATTAGGATATCTGACGGTAAACAGCTCTTTGTTTGACTGCAAGAACCTTGCAAGGTCAAGCAACGTTTCACAAAGCATGTAGGCAGCAATTCAGGGAGGTTAGCTGACATCTTCACAATGATAGTTAGACATTAACTCCTTTGACAGAAAAGACCTAACTTCAGTTGATTCTCACATAAGTAATGATTGGGAAATACCAGAATGTTCTTTTTATAATAGTTTAAAAAAAAACTTTAAAATTACTGAAGTAGTTTTTTATTAAAAATACAAAAATAGATGAGGGAAGCAACTTAGTAGGAGAGAATTGAACATAAATCAGCCAGTAGTTGTATTTTAGCAAAGAATAGATGTTTTGTGTACACAGTTTTATTCTTTAAATATAAATGTCATTTGGGTTCAATATCTGATTCCCAACTCAGACATACATTCTTTGAAACAGAATATGAGTCTTACTATCTTATGACAAATGGCTGTTTTCTCACGTTTTGTGGCTATAATCTTGAATTGAAAGAATGTAAGAATCAAGATTGGCTTTTAAACATGAATTGAATAGCTTAATTAAAAGAAAATTAAATTTACAGTATATTAAAAAGAAGCAAAATTCTTTACACTATAGAAGTCATTCTGGGGCCAGATTGTTGCAGATGCCTGATTATTGTTACTGTCTTGTAAGATCAAAATTTGAAGAGTTCTGTAAAATAAATCAGGGACGAATTTGGCTGTGTCACTCCTGTTTGCCTGTTTGATCTCCTGTTAAACCAGTAGCTTTACTAGTAGGATGTTTTCCTAGAGTAGAAAGAAGGGAATTTTTATAAGGAAGATGAGAAGGAGGGTATGATCACTATTTAGTCACACAGTATGGTCAGGATTCAGTCTTAGGTATAAATCAACACATGGTTGATCTTAGTAAAAATTATACAGTGTCAAGAAAACAAAGTTTCTTAAACCAACATGTTTTACTTTCACTGGGACAAAGAGGTAATTAGAAATCTATCCTGAATCTCTGCCAGACACTGGATAGTATCACAGTATCTATATATTAATCAGGAGGTGGTATTTAGTGTCATTAAGGACAAAGTTCACCTGTTTTGAGATTGTAAAACTGCATACATTGTTTTCATTTTGGTACACATAACAGGAACAACTAAAACTATTCAATCTTTTGTCTTGTTCTGATAGATGTGTATGGACTCAGAAAAACATATGATCTACACATTTGGTGGTAGAATTTTGACGTGTAATGGCAGTGTAGATGACAGCAGAGCCAGTGAACCACAATTCAGTGGGTTGTTTGCCTTCAACTGTCAGTGTCAAACCTGGAAACTTCTTCGAGAGGACTCCTGTAATGCTGGGCCTGAGGACATCCAGTCTCGGATAGGACACTGCATGCTGTTCCACTCAGTAAGAATATTCTGTACATTGCATTATTATTTTTTCATGTACATCTTTATAGGAAAAGAAGTAGTGGAATGCAGTTCTTCAGCAGAAGATCAAAACTTTTCATTAGAAATAAATGGTTATTGTAGCAATGACAGAAAAAAAAAATACAACTGTAAGTGAATTGTGTGCTAATTGAGACTCTTTCCATTAACCTAGCAATTCCTAAATTGTTAGTACCTGAATGCCAATCTGGACAACTGCATGTCTGATTTTATTGCTGCTTCAGGTAGTGTGTAGTGATGTGCTCTTACGACTTCCTACTTACTAACTTTACTCAGTAGTTAAAAGAATAATTTTTAATGTTATTTACAAGCATTAGTACAATGAAATAAAGAATTGATCTTTTTGAACTAGAATTAAAATTTGTCTGCAAAACTTTTAACTTTTTCAAATATTTTAAAGAAATTTGGGTCTTGTTTTTTATGAATACAGCTTTATAGTAACATGGAATTTTACATATGTCCTTTAGTGTGTGTTTTAAACATGTTCTTTCTATGAAGTAGAAAGAAGTGCATAATAATAAATTTCTGTGTAACTCATCTATCAGTTTTAGCAGCAATTAATCATCTGTTCATTCTTTACATATCTACTGTTATTTAATTTCTTTCTTTTTTTGTGTGTGTGGTATTACTAGGGATAGAACTCAGGCTCCCAGCTGTACTTACAAGTACTAGAATACAGGTAAAGACTAGAATACAGGTAAAGACTACAAACACACAAAGTACAATTGCATTATCATACCCAAACAAAAATATATAAATTTCTAATATGTATAGTACAGTGATCAGTCTGTATTCATTTTTTTTCTAATACTGTGAAAAATACCTTTTCAAAGTAGAGTTGTTTAGGTCAAAATCCTAAACTGCCCCCCCCACCAAAAAAAAGGTCTGTATATTGCATTGTATCTCTCCCTCTCCCTATTTTTCCCCTCACATACAGCTTACTTGTTTTTAAAAACAAAAAATAAAGAAATCCAAGTCATTTGTGCTCTAGAATGTCTCACATTCTCAATGTGGTTGGTTTTATTTTCATGTCATTTAGTGTTCATTTGTCCTTCACATTTTCTATAAACTAGTAGTTACATCCAGGGACTTGATTTCAAATTTATTGTCCTTTTTTGGGGAGCTAAGAGCAACATGCAGACATATTTCATAAGCACTCTAGTTACATAGTATGGAAAGGATTCAAGTCTAGTGGACAGTATGCAGTAGTGGGTCCAGTTGCAGCAGCCTGGGCCATGACTGTGAGGTTGCCTGTGCACTTTCACCCAATGTTTTAGCAGCCATTGATAGTCATTGTCTGAATTTCATTGGGGGCTTTTTCCAATGGTGTCATTTCTTCTATATTTATTACCTACAGTTCTATTTTATTAAAAAAAAATTTCTCATGAACTTTTTGGTTACTCTGAAATGTAAACCATACAGGATAGGCAGTATAAATATATAATTCTTTCCTTGTATTGATATTCACATTAGTGAATTGAGGTTCCAAAGTTATCCAATGAAGTTTTTTAAGAAGTGTAATTATGAACTCATGGAAGTTAATATATTTGATGTTTTCAGATTCAGCATTGCCATTGTTCTGTTTGATACTCAGTTTTTTCCCCCACTTCGGTAGTAGGAAACTCTTCCACTTGCATATGTATGCATTTCTTTTTTTAGAAAGAGAAAAATTAAATCATGAGGTCATCCTGACAAATCCAGCTCAAATCAAAGATTTTTTTTCTTTTACTTAATAATGACTTTGGTTTTTTAATTTGTATATTTTTTAAGGTTAAAACCCTATGTCATAATAGTCGTATTACATTACTTGCTTTAATAGTTTTAAAAATAACAAAGCTAACAACAAAATCACCAAGTACTATGCAAGATTGCTTTCTGATTGATTGATCTGTTTGGCATTTAGCTCATTAGGAATGCATGGTCAAAAATCTGTGAATCAAAAATGACTAGAAATACTTCTCAGAATGATCATGATTTTATGTGGTTATACTTTTATATACGAGTAGGGTCCTTTCCTCCCTTCCTCCTCCTGCCGCCCTCCCTCCCTCCTCCCTCCTTTGCTTTATTCCTGATACCCTCCCTTCCTTGATTCCTTCCTTCCTTTCTTTTTGGTATGGTACTGGAGTTTAAACTCAAGGCCTTGTGCTTGCTTGAGCCATACCCCCGCCCTAATCCTTTTTCTTTTAGTTATTTTTCAGATAGGGTCCCCTATTTTTGCCCAAGCCTGGCCTCAGATTGCCTCTGCCTCCCACTTAACAGGTATGCACCATCACATCTGGCTTGTTCTTTGAGGTAGGGAACTTTTTGCCTGGAACGGCTTCAAACCATGCTCCTCCTGTCTCTACCTTCCAACAGAGAAGTTTGTTTTGTTTTGTTTTTTAATTTTGTTTTCTAATTGAATAAAAGCGTATATATGGTTATCAAGTCAAAACTGTAAGTCAAAATACTTTTGACTCTTGTTTTTGTCCCTGTCTTCTAGACAGGGATTAAAAGGAATTGTTTCTTCCCTTGTAGGTATTTTTTTTTTTAGGTTTTGATTTATTAAAACATATATTTTCATATTCATTCTCTCTCACACACAGACATTGCTTTTTATCTTTTCTTACACAAAGGTAGCAAACTATATACATTATTCTGCACCTTGCTCTTTTACTTTAATAGGACATCCTTGAGAGCACCTGTTACTAGTATGTAGAAAGCCTCTTCTTTCCTCCTCATTGCAGTACTGTTGCATGGGATCTGTCATAAAATTGCTTTTGTAGAGGTGTAAATTTTGAAAGGATCTTTCTGGATTGTTGGGGGAAGTGACAGCTTTCTCCCTTTTTTTCTTTTTCAGAAAAATCGTTGCTTATATGTATTTGGTGGCCAGCGATCAAAGACCTATTTGAATGATTTCTTTAGTTATGATGTGGACTCTGATCACGTAGACATAATATCAGATGGCACTAAGAAAGACTCTGGAATGGGTAAGAACATTTAGTGATCTCTGCTTCCGGCCCTTAACTACTTTAGGTAGAAAACTACAGCCCATTTCTATTCTTTCTAACATTCCTCGCCTTTGCCTTCACCTTCTCCTTTTTGGGTGGGGGTCACTGTTCTGGAGTTTGAACTCAGGGCTTTGTACTTGCTAGGCAGGCAGGTACTTCCGCTGCTCTTTAAATGTAGTTATTTTTCAGGTAGGGTCTGGCCTCAGACCTTGATCTTCCCACCTCTGCCTCCCACCTAGCTGGGACCACAGGAATATGCCACCATGCCTAGCCTATTGATTGAGATGGTTTATCACTAACTTTTTGCCCAGATTGACTTTGAAGTGCAGTCTTCCCAGTCTATATCTTCCAAGCAGCTTGAATAACAGGCGTGAGCCACTGTGTACCAGCACTCCATTTCTTTAACTGGAATAATTCTGAGTAAGAGGAATAAAATTCTCTAGTTCTATCTGTTTAAAAATATGTGATTTACTATTATTATTTCCTTCAAGCAGAAAGAACTATGTGAATTTCTAAAGTAATTGTTTTTGTGCTTATGTGGGGGCGGGGGGTAGGCTTTGCAAGAAGCAGTATTTAAAAACTATTATTTTGTATTTGCTAATCCTTTCAATCTTCTGTTTTCCTAATAGTGAACTATATATTAGCATACTAGGGTATGTCGTTGTTCTGAGGGAAGTCTTCACACGATTGGTAATAACTTACAAGTTTACAAATTTGGCATCTAAGAAGGTGATTCGATTTGCTCAATTTATGCATATTGTCATGGTATAATTATTAATAGTGCTGCTTCGCTATCAAAAGTGTCTTGCTTTGATAACACACACAGAATAATAGTTGCATTGCCTGTGATTACTATACCCAGAAGAATGGCTTGCATTAAGTGCCAGTGATGTAGAAGGACTCATTCAAACAATGGGACTAGAGAGTATAGCAGCTTGCTTTCCATTTAGGTCTTAAATATAAACTAGATCTTTGTATTGCTGGCTCTTTTGCAAAAATAAAAATACCTGTCATAGGTATCATTTCTGGGTGCTTTGTCGATAGTATAAGCTTTTCTAAAACAAACAAAACCAACAAAAAGCTCTTTTCATTAAAATTGTTTACATTTAAGAAGAAAAAAATTTTTTTAAAGATAGCACTAAAGAAAATCTGCGCTTGGAGTACTTATACTCACAGGACACATACTCCTATCCTTCCTGCTAGCTAGAAGGCTAGAGATTAATTCCCTAGGGGTTAGTCTCACTACTACCACCACCACCACCTAGTAAAATGGCTGATCTTGCTATATTGTCCTGATACAGTGGCCAAGTTCCCCTTATAGTACCCTGCAGTACTGCCCATTAACTTTTGTTTTTTCACTCTTTCTGAACAGTTAGTTAAACATCTTCTGTGTTAGGACCTTTACCGTGAAAGAGACAATGACTAAACAAATCCATAGTAACCACCTTTCTTAGAGTAAATGACACTGCATTGATTAAATAATAATAGGGTACAATGAAAGATCAGAGACCAAGAAATACCTTTTAGGGAATAAATTTTAATAGAATAGAAAAAGTAGAAGCACTGTAAGCTCAACAAAGGGTGTTATCCCCAAAAGTACACAGAGCTAGAGACGGAAATTTGAGATAAGCAAGGTCTTAATAGATTAATCCAAGAAGTCCACTAAAGAACAAGTAAGAGTTTTTCCAACAATAGCGAACAAAGAAAATGGAGGACACAAGACTAAAATAAATACTTGGAAATTTCCTCAAATTTAGAAGCACTGACCTCGTGATAGCAAGTAATTCTCTACAGAAGTTAGTACACTGAATTAAAAAAAAAAAAGCATGTCATGATGCATGATGTACTTTCACATTCCAGCACAAAGACAAGTTCCTAAAAACTTCTAGAGAAAAACAAGGTAACAGTCTAAGGAAAGAACTTAGAATGATGTAGAAATTTTCAGCAATGTTGGAAGGTAGATCAGGAAGAGCAACATCTTACAAATGCTTAGAGGAAAATTATCACCAACCCAGAATTCTATTCCTAGCCAAACAGTGAAACAGGAAAGAAGAAAAATATTTCAGATACACAAGGTCAGTCAGTAGAATGCGTTTGGTTGCTCGTAATAGAAAAATCCCTTAAACAGTGGTTTAAACAATTATAGAATCATTCCTTTCACAGAACAAGAAATCCAGTGTAGTGATTCTACAGTGTCATCAAGATCTCCAGGTTCTTTTTTTCCTGTCTTTCCTCCCCTTTCCTGTCTTTAACATGAGGTTTTAACTTTGTGGAGAAAAGTGTCTAAAGCACCTTAAACGTTGTGCTTTGGTTCCAGGTAAGAAAAAAGAAGGAAAGCAAAAATTTCTCAGAAACCTTCAGTGGGATTCTGCTTAGATTTCATCGGCTACAGCTGTGAAAACTGGCTTCTCTAGTCTGGGGAAGTAGTAGTTAGCTTTTCTAGCCTCATGTCATCCACAAGGGAAAAGGTTTGGGAATGGCTGATGGATCATGCAGGTTTCCAAGTCTGCTACCCAAGGTTATGCATTCGTTCCTAGGAATTTACTGTACCACATGCACTAACAAAAAGAGTAAAAAGTAGCAAAAGAGGAAACACAGGAGGTATGAAAAGAAAGATCCGACATAGGAAAGCAGGAAAGGGGTCCTAAAATGATTCCTGCACAGCAAACCTAATGACCATCAACTCAGATGGGAGTAGGAGGACACAGGATTGAGACCCACCCTCTTCACCAAGAATGCGGTTTCCAGATCAAAGCCGCTTCTCCGCCCCCCCCACACACACCCTAAGGTGGAGGGTTGCCATTTAAGGCCAGCCCAGGCAAAAAATTACTGGGTCCCTATCTCAACCAACATAGCTACTCCCTAATCTCCATAGCTGGCCTTTATTCAGACCATACTGTATGACAGACTCTTACATTGGCAATATTATTCTCATTTACAATATGGGAAAAGTTGAAGTCCCCTGAGGTAGAATAATAGATTCAGCATTATACAAGTAGATTGTAGAACTGAGATTTAGGAATTTGAGTGCAAAGAAGATATTCCTTCCACCATATTGAACTCAAGACTAAAAGAAAAAAGTGGCAGAGAGCTAGTTAAAAAAAAATGTTTTTACTGTAATAAGTAGGCTTGAATGACTATCATTTGAACAAACTTTAAATGAGCTACGATGATAAAGTCTGCAGTTTATTATGATGCTCTCGTCATGGTTATGCTAGCTTTATAGTAGCAGAGTGTGGCTGTTTTGTTCAGTTTTTATTGTGATTATAGAAGTAATAATAGTGTCACAGTAGAAGATTTTTAGAATATAGATTAATACCAAAAAAAAAAAAACCCAAACCAGTATCAAGCCATCCAGAGATGATCTGGATCAAAATTAACATTTTGGTGTATTTCCGTCTAGTCTCTTAAAAAGTTATTTGCGTAAAGTTGGGCACAATTCTTTTTTCTGTTATTGAATTTTATAATTTTATATTAAATAATTTTTAAATCATTATGATATTACAATGAACCAGAGGTAACAGTACAAAAAGCAAGTGAACTCATTCCCAAATTATTGCTGCAGTCAACTTTTCTAAAATCAGAATCACCTTTTTTTTTTTTTTGAGAATCATTGTCTTTTGCTGTGCGTTGTTTAAATTTTAGTTGAGTATAATGAACTACCCCACAATGCAAACAGACTCATTCATTAATAATATTTTCTGATTATCTACTAGCATCCAAGTTTGTCTCTCTTAGTCCCTTCTTCCCCACATAGTTCATTGTCTTCTGTGCATCAAGGAGTGTTTCAGGTACTCAGGACTCTGCTGTGAACCCTGGGGAATAGATCCCTTAATTCACAAGGCTCACATTCCAGTGGAGAAATACTAGCAGCTGTGTTCTAAGTATTATGAAGAAAATAAGTTGAATGCTGTGATAATAAGTAACATGGGAGGTACCATTTGCATGGAGTAGGTTGGGAAACCATCTCTAAGGAAGTAATCTTCAAGGTGAGAAGTAAAGATACAGGAAGAATTAACTGAAGAATTGAGAGAGGAGCAAGTACAGAGTCTAAACAGGAAAGAATGTGGTGTGTTCTAGAAACAAATGGGACTGGTAAGAATTGATTGTGCTTGTTCATGCCTTCTCTGTGGGTAGAGATGAATCAACCCTCTGGTTTGGGCTCATGTTATTGTTGGGTGTCTCCATTTTCTCATTCTCTTGTCTGTACTGCCCTCAGGTAATACTGATGTACTCAGTAACCATCAAGTTATGTCAGTTCTATTGCATCTTTTCTCTGTCTGTTGGTTTGGGCTATCATCACCTATTTGAGTTCCGTCTTCAGTCTGTAGTCTTTTCTTCTGTGCCTCTCTTTTCCCCAACCCATTCTCCACACTGTGAGCACAATACAGCTTTTCTGTATTTACCAGTCAAGAACTGAACTATGTGCCCTAACATTTATTCAACTGAATTTTTTTTGGTGCCAGCTAATCTCTAGGATTATGGCTGTGAATCAGGGCTCTCTATCTTCAGCACTATTGTACTGCATGGGGAAGAAAAAGAAATAAATTGGTCTTTTTAATGAATGCTAATTCAGATAAGAAGATAGCTTTTAAATGAAAACTTAGTGGGTTTTTTTTTTTTTTGTCGTTGCTTAAAATCTTTTGTTCTGCTTGCTCTCAAGATCAAGTCTGAACTCAGCCTGACTCAGTGCCCTTTACCATAGGCTGTAGCTTAGTTCTCCAGCCCTGTTTTTGGTATCTGCACTCTCCTTGCCACCAACCGTTTCATGACCACTGAATATTAAAGCTTTATAGATAGCATACTTTTTCTCACCTTTAGTGTTTCTACCATGCTGTTCCCCCTACTTTTCCCTCCTGCCTCCAAAATCTAATTTGTACTCTCATCTCACAGATCTTAGCTTGTAGATTATTGTTTCCCGAAATTCTTTTCAAGCCAGCTTAGGAATTAAAGCAAATGCTTTGGTCTTAATTGTTAAC